AACACTTCCTAAGCACGATACAGAAACGTTGTCAAATAAAAATTAACATTAAGCCAAATCTCTAAAGAGATTTCTGACAGATGACAAAAGTCTCAGCTAAATAGCAGAAAGGAGCTGGAGAGATTCAGGGAGGGAGGTTTCCAAAGCATCTGGCCCAAGCACCAAAGGCATGGCTGCCAATAATGGACCGATTAAAATTAGGAGTGTATAGGAGAGCGGAAACGGAGAAATGCAAATATCTCAGGAGGTTGTAGACCTGAAGTAAATTACAAAATTAATGAAAGGTGAGGACATGGAGAGATTAGGAAGCAAAAATGAAAATGTTCCCAGGCAGGAGCGAGTGTAGGTCAGTGGGCACAAGGGCAATAGGACTTGGTATGAGTTAGGACAGGGCAACAGTATTTCAGATAAGATCAAAAAGAAGTTTCTGGTAGCAAGTTTTGAAGACAAATGAAAGTGGATAACAATGGATGAAGAAGGCAGAAATTGTGACAATGATAAAGAACTGACAACTTAAATCAATATAAATATGTAGAGGGGGATTCAAATCTTTGGGATTCTGTACCCCAGACCACAGAGGATGTTTGGATATTGAGTTTATTCATGGCCAGGATCAACTGTCTTTTAGGCATGTATGGAACTGAGGGCAAGCAAAGGTCTCTGGCAGAAAAGTGAGAATGAAAACATAGATCAACCATGGCCTTAATAAATGGTGGAGCTGCCTCTTAAGGGTGGTACCCTGCTGCTGCTTCCATTTCTAAAGTCCTTAAATAGTTTTTTGCTTCCCAGCTTCTTATCTGTGTGGCTTGGCAGCCTTGACATTAGGACAGGACAAGCCGATATCTGACTGGTATGTCGGCACCAAATGTAGAGATATATTATCACCTTCTGGAAAATACACAGTTTGTGGTCAAACTGAGTTCTTGGAAAAGCTAAAACATATGTGTCAGCCAATTTTTTTGCCATTTTGGTTTCTTCTGCTGCAAGAATTTCCTCTGTTGGTTTTTCTGATTATTATAAATGGACTTCCCCTGTTCTTTTCTCTCTGAAAAAGGGTTGTAGAAATTCCACTGATAATAATCTCACTGGGGTACGGGATGCCATACACACACTGACTCTCACTGGGGTACAGGGTCCCACACACACACACACACACACACACACACACACACACACACAGACTCTCACTAGGGTACGGGTCCCACACACACACACACACGCACACACACACACACACACACACACACTGACTCTCACTGGAGTACAGGGACCCACACACACACAGACTCTCACTGGGGTACAGGGTTCCACACACACACTGACTCTCACTGGGGTACGGGGTCCCACACACACACACACTGACTCTCACTGGGGTACAGACCCACACACACTGACTCTCACTGGGGTATGGGTTCCACACACACACTGACTCTCACTGAGGTGCGGGCTCCCACACACACACTGACTCTCACTGGGGTACGTGGTCCCACACACACACTGACTCTCACTGGGGTACAGTGCCACAGACACACTGACTCTCACTAGGGTACGGGGTCCCACACACACACTGACTCTCACTGGGGTACGGGGT